ATTTTAATAAATGTTGAAATAACAGAATTAGCTAAAGATACCTTGCTTAAAATTTACTTTAGAATTAAAATAAAAATGAAATAAATGTCTTAAAATTTTTTTTTGAAATAAAGAATAGAGAGGAAAATTTAAGTTGCTTGTTATTTTACATATAGGGTTTATTGTTTCATTCTAAATAAATAGAAGGTTATACTATACATGGTATTTTGGAACTTGCCTTATTTCAATTTAATACATTGAGAATTTTTTTGATATTCCTAAATATTTTTCTACCATATTGTTTTTGTTCCTAACACTTCATCATATGTTCACTTTCCTTCTCCTCATCCTTGTCATTGCTCTCCTAGTCTTCTTCATACTTCTTATTTTCTGGCCAATGTTTAACTGCGTTCCTGCCTGTTTGCTTTCAGTGTTCTCACCACTCTACCATATGTAGCGTACTGCAAATCCAAACTCCCACTGATTTGCTTTAATTTCTTATATTCTCTCCTGAGGTGTTTCTTTCATTGAACTGCAACTTGCTAGTTGGTCATTGTATATTAGAACTTATAGATAGGGTATAGATAAAGTTAGATATCCAACTTCCTGTGTAATAAAGGTTAAAATCTCAGTTTGAATACAAATTTCTACAACTTTATTATTTTTTTTTATAATTAGATTTTTGGTATGCAATTCAAAATCATGTTCCTAATTTTATAAAGCCACATTTAAAACAGTGCTCAAACACTCACTAGTGACCAGTCTTTTGCTCAGTTACATCATTTATTTTTGATTCATTAAATTGTTTGTTAAGTATTTATTAGGTGCTTTTTCTCTACCAGGTACTATTTTGCTTGATAGTTGTGTGGTGGTGAGCAGAAGAGCCATGAACCTACCTTCCTTCATTGAGTTTATGCCTTCATTCCCACTTATTTCCTCTTTAATGGTTTTGAGTGCCTTGGCAGAATGTTTGAAAATTTGAGGTTTGATTACATGTACTTTCCAGTTGTATTCTATGAAATATGAGGTGAAGAGAATTGAAATAGGAAATGTAGTTTGGGAGGTTTAAGAAGACATTAAGGAAAATTCTATTTCATAGTTGTAAAAATGATACCACAGGGTATTCAGATGCCTTATTTCCATAGTTCCAGCATTGTGGAGTTACCTATCAGACTTGTATGAACCATATTAGTAATTTACTGCACCACATAGTGAAAAAAAGATTTGAAAAGATCCTCTTCTCTCAGACTTTCTTAGATAGTCAAGTTATAGAAGCTGATACAGTAAAGTGGAGTCCTGGTGTGGCGCTGTGGGTTAATGTACTATACTGCAAAGTCAGTTTGAATCACAAGGTTGATAGTTCAAGCTCACCAGCTGCTTCTCGGAAACTCTATACAGGGTTGCTGTGGGTCAGAACTGACTCAACGGCACTTCACAACAGCAACAATATGTTAAAGGAGTCTTGGTGTGGTGCTATAGGATAAGCATTGGATTGCCAATTTCAAGGTTGATGGTTCAAACCCACCGGCCACTTCTTGGAAACCCTATATAAGACATTATGAGTTGGAACCAACTCAACAGTGCATAACAATATATTAAAATGAATGTTTCATACCCCAGACTTGCACATCTTAAATTATAAACTCCTTTCAGTAATTAAATTTTATTTCTGAAATTGTTAAAGATATTGTTGAATATAGCCTGGTTATGTAGTTATATATCCTTTAATATTAACTCCTCTTTTTTTTTTTTTTTTTAATTTATTGTTTAGTCTATTCATATTCAGGGAAAGAACTTATATGCTTTAACCAGTTCTCCCTCTTCATTGTTGGCTCTGGAGGGTTTGGTGGAAAACGAAAATCAGACAAAGCCAAGGTATGCCATAGCTTTATGTAGAAGCAAAATATATGTGTTGTTAAGGATCCTTATCTATATTTTGAATTAATAATTTTACCATATGTGTAATTTTGTAGAGCAGAATAATTCATTTTTCTTTCAAGCAGAATAATTCTGTTGGTTCTGAAGTGGCAGTTATGTTTACACATACATATATAAATAGCCACACACACATATAAGTGTGTATATACACCCTCGGAAACCCTGTACAGGGTCGCTATGGGTCGGAACTGACTCGACGGCACTTAACAACAACAACAACATACATATACATACATGTATCATATAACATTTTATATAGAGACAACTTACTGAATAAGTATAATATAGTTGAGATTATTATGTTAGTGTTTATTACTTTCTTAGAGAAACTTTGTAGCATTCAAAAATCTTTTGAAAAACTTTTCGCTTACAAGTGATTGTTGTATAGATTAAAATCTTCATTACTTAAATGACCTAAGTATTTAATCTTGTGATTAAGTCATTTTTAGTTACTCTTTACTTCTTAAAAAATTTTTTTTTCTAAGAAATACTGAATGATTCAGATTTTATACTAATTTAATCTGATATATATATATATATATATATTTTTTTTAATTAAATGTTTTTATTTTGGCTTGAGTGAAAGTTTACAGGGCACATCATCAGCTTCACATTCAACCATTCATATAGCTTGTTTCATTACATTGATTATTATCCCCTCCATCTATCATCAGTTAACAGTGTTTCTCTCTATCCTCTTTAGCTTTTTTTTTGGATGGGGGGGACTTGCCTTTTTGGAATTTACAGTCTCGGCTTTTAGGGAAGGTTTTTACATTTGTCTGTGGATATCCAGGGCTCATGTATGAGATTACTAACAAGCATTACTGAATAATCAGATGAGGGACAGTTTGCTATGTCTACTAGGTAGCTAAAGTCTGATCCTCAGAGCCTATGGTTTGAACGGTCAACAACGCTTGGGCCCACAGGGGCTTGGCCTCCTGACCGGGTCTGCACGGTCTGCATCCGAATCCTCCTTATTTATTGTTTGTTTAAGGGACGCTGCCTGTCTTAGGCGGTCAGTGAGAATTCCTCAGTCTTACCCATCATTGAAACTCATTGCAGCATGGCAATGGCTCTGTCTTAAGTTGCCGAGGTTCCACGTGATCCTTACCCGTCTCTGGCCACACGTCCAGCATAAACAGCCGCCATCCAAGGAAAGCAGGGAGGGAGGAGATCGGCTGGGGACCCCATACACCAGACGTTGCCGGCCCACCACCTGCTCTAAGGTGACCAAGCAGGATCACTATGCTGAGGTTCAATCAAGTTCTTAGGGGATCTTACTCTCTAGCAGGGGTAGCAAATTAGTAGCCACTCAGTGTTCACTTTGAGAATTACTTATATCATAAATTTGAGCATGTAGCTGATGAATATCCATAGACAAGTGTATATTGTTCCACAACCTCCTAAAATGCTGTTGGGTTAAGTTCCAATCAATTTCTGGGTTACTGAAAGATAACACAAATCTACTTATACCATGAGTAACCTTAGCTGGGAGTGTAATCTGGATATATTGGGTCTTATTTCCCTTAAGCGATCTTACTTTCTCTAAAGGATTTAGTCTGTTTTGTGAACCTTTGTCTATTTACTCTTGGATCATATGAGCGAGACTAATATCCCTAGACATTTGATTTACATGGTGGGCAGGGCAAAAAAAGGTAACAATTCCTATTTGCGCAGTGATTCTTGACCTGAGAGCAAAGGCACATGGCACGTTTAAGGGCCAGGCACCGCAATGATTTGCCTAGCTTCTGAAAACTTTAACAGGGAATAAAACCTATGATGGTTGATGGACGATTGCAAAATCAGTAACATCTATTAACTCCCCATTCCCCACGCCCGACAAGCAAAGCAGCAGAATGTCTCTGGGGTTTATCCAGTTCCCTAAGGGTTAAACAGTTCTTAAAGTCTTCTCTGCTGTGGCTGGCTCGTTGGTGCTCTTGCCGGGGGGTAATCTGATATTTATCTCTAAGTTATTTAAAGTAATAGAATGATACATTAGTAGATATTAGTTTTGCATTAAATACAGTATAATTCAAAGGAATATTGAGCGATGACTTCTGCACTGGTGGTGTAAGGAGCTCTTTGGATCCTCTCTCCAGTGAAATAGCTATAACTGGTAAAGAAATCTATAAAAAACAAAACATCACAACTATATAATGAAATACAGCAAATGAAAATAAATCCAAACCATTTACTAAAGAAAATGTGCTATCTTCTGGTTAGAATAGTGAGAATGTGACATTTGTGCCGTAATTCACTCCCTCCTTCTTTTTACCCCCAGTTGCAGATGACAGAAGCTATACTCTAGTTAGGTGTGGCCAAGTACATAGAATTCCCTCAGCCCCCCAGACTATGGTTGTGCTATCTTTCTGGGAGGGACAAACCACCAGCTTTTCTAACTACATTCTTTACCAGCACCATGTTGCAAAATCTCCAAGTATAAGTGGCTGAGAAGTGTGAGGCTCTCTTTCTTCATCTAACCCCGACTTGTAGGGTATTGGTGGTGGTTATATGCCATGGAGTTGGTTCGACTCATAGGACCCTGTATATGGTTTCGGAAGCTGTAAATCTTTATAGGAGCAGTAAGCCTCATCTTTTTCCCATGGAACTGCTGGTAGTTTCGAACTGCTGACTGTGAGATTAGTAACCTGACTTGTAACCACTATGTTACCAGAGCTTCTTGCTTGTAGGGTAGAAGCTCTTATAATAGCATGAGATTACTGGGATTCCAGTCAGTCTTGTCCCAGTTATTCATAAAGTGGTTTTCAAGCTAGGATAGGAATGCTGAGAAGACCACAGGCTACCTTCCCTGCCCAATACCCTTCTTATAAGGCAATGGTGTCACTACAAGAGAAGTAGACCCTCATCTCCACAGCAGTAGTGTGGAGGTTTTATAAAAGGTGATGCAGGCTGTAATAACTAAGAAGTCTGAAGATTTTCTACGGGAACTCAGTTATGTAGCCAGTAGAATGTGGGGAAGTTCAAGCATAAGGATAATCTTTGACACAATGGTCACTTTAGTGATAAGCAATGAAAAGTACATTAGTAGCTCCATGAAAACTGCAAAGTACACTGAAGTCCAGCCAGAAGTTTATAAGGGCGAGAAGAGAAAAAGGCAGTTAAGAACAACATTCCTGAGGTTGGGACAAACATCAAAAACTGGCCTCAAAAGTTACCCATACAAAGAAGCCAGAATTTAATTGGTATAGACTGTGGAACAATTTATACCTTAGGGTATTATCAAAACCCATGGAACAATCAACTTTCAATTAGTGGATGCTAACAGCTGGATATGATACCAAACAAGACAGACAGTTGAACAGAGAAATCAGGGAGAACCCTGCTAAAACCACTGTCATGCATGGGTAACTAGGTGTGTGGCTAAGACTGTGCTCTCTGTAACAACAGCAGAAGATGAGAGAAGTAGATTTTACTAAAATGGTCTAGTGAAGTCAGTAATAAACAAATATACAGTAACAACAGGCCCTGGATATGGGAGGTAGTATTTAGACTTGCTAAAATATTTGATCTGAATTGTCCAATTATCAATAAAAAAAAAAAAAGACATAAAAACAAATATTAGAGTATGACTGAATGAGAGAAAACCACAAACTAGGTAATAGAAACTGTTTTTGAAAGGGTCTATATGGTGGACTTAAGGAACTCTGGTAGTTTAGTGGTTACGAATTGGGCTGCTAATCTCATGGTCAGCAGTTAAAAACTACCAGCTGTTCTGTGGGAGAAAGATGAGGCTTTCTGCTCCCATAAAGATTTACAGCCTTGGAAACCCTGTACAGGGTCTCTGAGTTGGAACTGACTTCACAGCACATAACAACAACAACAATATGGTGGATTTAGCAGAAAAAGATTTTAAAAGTAGTTATTTAGTTCAAACAACTAAAGGAAACTATGTTTAAGGAAGTAAAAGAAAGTGTGATTCATCAATCAGAGAATATCAATAAAGAGATAAGAATTATAAGAAAGAACTAAATGGAAATTCTGGAGTTCAGAGATACATAATGAAAATGGAAATTCACTAGACGAGAACCCCGAAGACAATGACCATTGGTCACCCTCAGGCCTGGAACTGAAATCACCCCCATGGCTCAATTTTCAGCCAAGCAATACATAGAAAAATAGATGGGACACTAACATTCATGAGGTATGCACACCATAGAATGGTCATTCATTTGCAATGAAAAGGGCAGCATTTACCTAAAGACAAAGTTCAGAAAGATTGGGAAAGAAACAGAAAGGAGGAATAGCAAAAAGAAACCTGGAGGAAGTGGTATCAGTGATGTTACATTGGGATTGCAGTCACAGATCAAGTGAAGTGTATGATTTGTGCAATGTAACACTGATGACTGATCTGCTCTGTAGACCTTCACTCAATTCACAATAAAAACTTAAAAAAAATTCACATTCTGATTCTGAGAGTATCAGAAAGAGGAGAGAGAAAAGAACAGAAAAAAATATTTGAAAAAATCTGTATATCTGAGAAGCTCAACCAACTCCAAGTAAAATAATACGGCCCTCAAAAAGTTCATGGAAAAATTTCATTATCTTTTCATTCCATTTTTCCAGGAGATTTTTGAAGCCTTCTCAAAAAACAAACAAACAAACAAACAAAAAAATGAGATCAACACCCAGATGCATAATAGTAAACATGTTGGAAAACCAAGGTAAAGAGAACATGTTGAAATTAACAAGAGAAAAAAGATCAGATACAAAAACAAAACAAAAACACTGCTGCTGAGTTGTGGACTCTTCAGGACCCTACAGGACAGATTAGAGCTGCTCCATAGGGTTTCTGAGGCTTTTTTTTTTTTTTTCCAGAAAGGCTATTATGTTTACAAAAGCACTGCCTCATCTTTTTCTCTTGGAGTGGATGGTGGGCTTGAACTGCTGACTTTTAGCAGCTCAATGCTTAGCCCAGGACACTACCAGGACTCCTGTTACAAAGGAACCCTAATAAGATCAGTGTTTGATTTATTAGAAACAATGGAGGCCAGAATCCAGTGGAATGGCATTTAAAGTACTGAAAGAAAGAAGAAAAAAAAAATTCTGAAGAATCTTATAATCCAGCAAACCCGTCTTTCTAAAATGAAAGTAAAATAGACATTTGAAATAAAAATTGAGAGTATTTGTTGCTTGTAGATGTTCACTACAAAAAAAAAACAGAAAGAAATTCTTCAAGCTGATAGCAAGTAACCACATACCATACAATTGTAATTAATATGAAATTATCTTGAATAGGTAAATCTATAGAGGCAGAGAGTAGATTACAATAGATCCGTTTTGGAAGAAGTGCAGCCAGAGTGCTCCCTGGAGGCTACAATGGCCAAACTTTGTCTCTCATACTTTGGACATATTGTCAGGAGGGACCAGTCACTAGAGAAGGATATCATGTGTGGTAAGGTGGAGGGTCAGAGTAAAAGAGGAAGAACCGAAACGAGATGGATTGGCATTGATGGACTCAAGCATGGCAACAGTAGTGAGGTTGGCCCAGGATCGGGCAGTGTTTCGTTTTGCTGTGTATAAGGTAGCTATGAGTCGGTATTGACTCGATGGCACCTAACAACAACAACAACAAGGGTCTAGGGAGCAGGATGAAATGAGTCATGATTGGTGAGTGGTTTCCTTTTTGGGGAAATGGAAAGATTCTAAAATCGATTGTGAAGATGGTTGCAAAATTATAAATATAGGGGCTTCAAACCTTCATGAAAATATAGAATTAAAAGAGAATGTCATTTTCCAGTGAACTTTTGAAGCCCTCTTATATATTAAAAACAATTGAATTATACGTTTTTAATGAGTAAATTGTATGGCATGTGAATTGTATGTGAACTTTTTATCTCGATAAAACTTAACAAAAGCAGTATTGATCAATATAATATGAAATTGTATTTTGAACCTACTTTTTCCACCAGTTTGTCATCATTAATTGCTTGTAGATGAAAAATTACCTTGTCAGTCATTAGATGATTATTTATGTGGGACTATATGTTAATCTAAGGAGCTCTGGTAGCGTAGTGTTTACGAATCTGGCTGTGAACCTTAAGGTCAGCAGTTCAAAGCTACTAGCTGTTTTTCGGGAGAAAGATGAGGCGTTCTGCTCCCGTGAAGATTTACAGTCTCAGAAACCCTGTACAGGGTCGCTATGAGTCGGAGCCGACTCCATGTCACATAACAACAACAACAACATGTTAATATGGAGTCCTGGTATGGTGCTGTAGGATAAGCGCAGGACTGAAAGGTTGGTTTGAACTGCAAGATATGTGGTTCAAACTCACCAGCAGCTTCTTGGAAACCCTATGCTGGGTTGCTATGAGTTGAAACCAACTCTTTGGCACTTAACAACAACAATGACATACATTAATCTCTGGAGTCCTGATGTGGTGCTGTAAGACAAACACTGGACTGCTAACTGCAAGGTTGGAGGTTCAAACCCACCAGCCGTTCCTTGGGAACGCTATACAGGATTCCTAAGAGTCAGAACTGAATTGATGGCACTTGACAACAACAAATGTATTAATGTATAATAAGAATCACAAGCCATTAAGGACCATTGGCTGTTCACTGCACAAGCTAATACAGCAAATACATTATTAGTTTGGTCTGAATGAATGGCTTACATATAGTATATATACATGTAAAAATTTTTTAAAACTATGTGAATACAAATAGATGTAGCCAAAAAAAAAAGCTATTGAATTTGCTTTTGCTTTTCCTTTTTTAAATCATTTTTAAATATTGGGCAATAATAAAGTGCTGTGGACTTACCAAGGAATTTAGAATAGAACCTGTATTCTAGATAATTTAGATATTATTGTAATAATGAAATAAATTTCTCACTAGTATAAAAAAAATAAGGGATACTATATCATAAACTGATTTCTGTTCTGTTAGAAGTAAAACTATTACACTGCCTGTCTTACATACTCTATGCCACATAATGGCCATAGCTTCCAATTGATTTTGTGGAATAAAGTGTACTCAGCAGTTTTAAAAGGGCACTCAGACCATGCAGTAAGTGGTCCTGAGACCACTTACCTACAGGTTGAAGAATGAAGTGAGATCCTTAAATATCACACCTTCAAAATCTAGTGAAATAAACTGAAAAGAAATAAATCGCCCCCAAAACAAACAAACAAAAAACCCAGGTGTAACGGAAACAATCTTATAAAATAGCAGCCCCCCAAAGAAACTCTGCATTTCTGTTTGTTTTGCAAGCAGCAACTCCCCCCATGATCCTTTATTTATCATCATTTTTATTTTTCTGGATTTATAAGAATAAATTTGGGACTACATTTAAGCTTGAGATTTTAATAATGAAAAAGTACTTTCTAATTCTTTAATTCTTTGAAGTTATAAGAGCTGACATTGTAGAAAATTTACTTAATAGAGAAAAAATGAAAAATAAAATTTACCCCTATTATACAGTAAGGTATCATTATTAAATTTTCATAGTAACGGAGTTTAAGTATTATTTTGTTAAGATGACAAGGCTAATAGGGATCTTAAGAAACTAAATTTAAAGATGAAATGGATTTAGGTATAACTTGAATGTGTAATTCAAGGGAAAAATTATCTTTAACATTTTTCTCCTTTGTGGTCTAGATTATGGATTTTTTAAATGTAATTCTTTGCATTAAACAGAATCATTTCAGAAAATTCATAATGTAGATGAATCTAGCAATTATGAAGTTTTTTGTCACTATTTCTTGAACCTAAAATATTTTAAAAATCATTTTGTCTCCACTTAATAGAGTTTATTATATTGAAGCATGGTTGTTTTATTAAGTACTAGTTTGTCTAAAGAGAATAGAATCACTTTGTTAAATTTAAGATTTAGTGTATAATGTCTTTTCATTTCAGGAAGCTGTAGCCATACCTAATAGACCTCCTGATGCTATACTTAGAGATACCACTTCACTGAATCAGGTAAGGTTGTGTTTTTGAAAAGTAATATATATCCATGTGAATGATGGTACTTTTCTCTTTATGACTCTAATATACTATTATTTTGGCAGTCCAAAAGTAGTATCCTTCAACATAATAAATATAAAGACATGTTTTCTAGAATTGGAATTTATTCTTTCTAAATTTTTGCTTATCTATATTTTTATTTCCTAGCTATCAAAAGAAAATATAAAATGGCTTTTCATTAATCACTTCGAAGAGCATGTATTTCACTGGCAGTGAGGTGCTTACCTTATAGACTACCAAAACTAGTAATCACGAATTTCACAAATGCCTTAGAGAGCAGAGAAAAAGATTTAAAAGGCAAGTAGGTTCGTCCTACTTTTGTTTATCAGGAACAAAGTTTGTGCCATATTGCTTTTAAAGAGATTATTTTATGCCAATTTTAGAGGACAGGAAAATAAAGCATTTTAATTGTAGGTGATTTAATCTTTTTTAGTCTGAATAGTTGTTTTCTGGTGGAGGAGATAAAAATGCCGTGCCAAAGGAATCCAAAAAGATAAGAAAAGTCAGTTTGTTTTTGAGAGATCTAAAGCTTCCTCTCTAAGGTGGCAGAAGATTAACCAAGCAGATGGAACCTAGACTCCTTTAACCTCTGGAATTATGCTGTTAATGAGCATGAATTATAGCAAATTATTCATAAAGTTCATTTTGAGCTATTTGATTGTCACTTTTGCAGGATTTGTATTTCCTGGAAAATAGAAATATACTTTTATAAGCCAGAAAGAATTAAGATGGTTTATATAAATTATATATTTTTTCTGCATTATGTAATTGGATTCTGGAAGGAACAGTACTTTATTTCTCATATTAGATTTTGACTTTAAATGTTTTTCCCATCCCTTACTATTTCCTATCAATTTCTTAAGACTATTCCAATATTTGTGTTTACATAAACCTCCATGGTAAAATTAATTTTATCAGAATCCTAAATCATAGAAAGGGGAACATGGTGGCTCTGTGGAATAAGTGTTGAACTGCTAACCATAATGTTTGTGGTTTGAGCCCACCAGCTGCTCTTTGATTGAAAAATGAGGTTTTTTTGCTCCTGAAAAGGTATATAGCCTTGGAAGCTCTATACAGGGTTTCTGTAAGTTGGAACTGACTGCATAGCATTAAACAACAATAAAGAACAGCAAAGGCTTCATGATTCCATGGTTCAGAAAACCCAACAAATGTTCCTTTATTATTTTTGAGTTATAAAATGAAAACCGAACCTATTGCTTTCAAGTGGATTTTTATTTATAGTGACCCTATAGGAAGGACAGAGTAGAATGGCCCCCTAGGGTTTCCAAGGAGTGTTGGTGTAGCACAGTGGGCTAATGCACTGGACTGTAAAATCAGTTTCAACCTCAAGGTCGGCAGTTTAAGCTCACAAGATGCTCCTCAGAAACCCTATACAGGGTCCCTATGGTTCAGAATTGACTCGACAGCACTTAACAACAATCTTTATGGAAGCAGACTGCCACATATGTCTCCTGAAGAGTGACAGGTGGGTTCAAACTACTGACCATTTGATTAGTTAGCTGAGTACTTAACCGCTGTGCCACCATGACACATCACATTGAAATTTTCATGTTACACTGAAAAAAAAATGTATCTGCTATAGATAAGAAAAACTGGTTTTCAAGATTTAAATTTGTATACGTAGTAAGTAGAAAGGTTTTCTGTCTTTAACTTTTTCTAAGATGAATAGAAATTTTTGTTAGCTTTTTGCAGGTTTTAATATTTTGCTGAGTGACAGGACATTTTTTTTTTAATTAGCAAATATTTTTTGTGTAAATAATATTCACCCATAATTTGGATAGAAGTTCTTGATCATTTTGTATCATTTGGCATTATGAGGAAAGTCAGCTAACATGTCTTCAAAAAGCATTTTATATAAAACTTTGTTTTTAAAAGTTAGAGGATTTGTGGATCTTCTGAAATTAGATATGTGCTCTAGGAGATAAGAATGAAATAGAAGAAATGCGTCTATTGTAAAGGAACTGAAAGGACACAGAGTCAAGAGAGATGTCTGAAGTAACTGTTGTTGTTGAAGTACTACCTGTTCTTGAATCATTTTAATTGTTGCTATGCTTGAGCCCATTGTTACAGTTAATTTTCTTGAGTGTCTTTCTCTTTTTTGTTGACTTTCTAGGTCACCTATTTCAAGTAAGAATGAGTAAATACAGGGCTTTGAATTGAAGAGTCAAATGTCCAGTGTTGTTGACAGTCAGGAACTCACTGTGTACTATTATAGAGAAGGATTTGTTTTGAAAGGTGGAACTTTTAGTTGTATTAAGATTCTTAGAGATGTATAGTTTACAGTGTAGCAGGTAAGGGGATAAGAATTAGTAGTAGAATAAAAGGGAGAAGAAGAAGAGCAAGATGTGTATGTTAAGAGTAAATATTAAAATATTCATATTGTAGAACAATGGGAGATAGATGTGGATGAACAGATCATTAGAGAGACATGGAGTAAGAAAAAATTATAGCATGAACTTTGTTAGATATTGAAATTAAGTAAGGAAACTGGCAGCCATATATTTTTAGCACTATCTGCCATCTGGGGTATTCTGTTTATCAAGCCTTTAGGAGAGAGTTCCTTCATTTTTAAATTGATATGACAGTACAGTTATCAAATATACTGTATAGTTAAACTTCATAATTAATAAACTGAAAATTCCATCCCAGTCATCAAGAGGAGTCTTGGTGTGGTGCTGTAGGATAAGCACTGGACTGCTAACCTCAAGGTCAGTGGTTCAAACCCACCAGACGTTGACTTGACAGCACTTAATTACAACAACAATCTAGAATGGTGTAAGAATAAATAGATACCAAATGTCAAGTTTTTGTATTTAGGGAGAACGAGAACCAAATATCCATAGTGTCCTTAAGTACATACCTTATACTATTTAGTCTGACAATTAGAATTTTAGTTATCATCATTAAGTTAATCTTTGGTATTAAAATACAATTCTTTATTTAAAATTATCATGTGTGTTTTAAATACTTTATTATTTTTGTTTTGCTTTTTGTTTTTGAGCAATGTTTTATTATGTCTCATGACATTAATTGGATGATTCTTATACTCAGGTGGTATTAGCTAGCACTCATATAGCTGTTTTCACATGGTAGCTATTAAGATTAGAAGGTAGTCCTAAAACATGCAATGGTTTCTTCTATAGTTCTGTCATCTGTTGCTTGGAACACCTCAGGTCTGCCTATTTTTCCATATGGTGTCTTATCTTCCAGGGCCTTTCATTAATGGTCTCTCTTTTCAGTAGGATAATTTGGACTTTCTCACATTGTATGGCTGGGTTCTGAGAGAATAAAAAATGGAAGCTACCAGGGCCAGACCTGTCATAGTCTCTTTTTGGTGCATTTTTTAGTCAAAGTGAGTTACAAGGTCTAGATGTAAGGAGAGGAGAATTAGCTTCCATTTCTTGATGGGAGGAGAGACATATATAAACAGGGAAGGGAGGAATTTTAGTGACTCTCAGTGGTCATTAAAAATTATCCTTTAGAAAAATATTTTATGCCAAATTTGGTAAGTGAAAAAGGAACTAGTGTTGAACATTAACTGTTATGGGAAAAAGCATACTTTGTCAAGAATATATAATACCTATTTTGTCTAAAATAATATATATGCCCCCAAAAAGGATTTGAACATTTGTCAAGCTCTTAACAAAGTTTATGTCTGAGTGGTAGATTGAGATTCTTTATGTATTTTCTGAATGATTAGCTTGTTTTTAAACAAACTGGAATCAGAAAAAATATATGGAACAAAATTTAAATATTTTTAATAAAAAAATTTAATAGGTGTGATTAAAAATTATAAACATTAAATAACATCAGTAATTGCTTAATAGAACTCTCCTTTTTTTCTGAGGATTTAAGTGGAAACTGAATACTGACTCTTTTGGAATCCCAAGACTTCCAAACTGTTCCTATACAGATAAAAGTGCTTCTGTACTTGGCATGATTTGACTTTGAAACACAATAAGGTTTACTTTTGTAACTGACTCTTGGTTTTTATTTGTAAGGAAGAAAATGTAATTTTGTTTGTTTTTTCTTAATCATAGAAGAATTTTTCCATCTTTATTCATCTTTTTTTTTTCTTCTTCTTTTTTGAGTACTAGTTTCCCATTTTAGGCTGCTTTTTTTTTGTTTTTTTTTGTTTTTTTGTTACCTTGTATTTGGTCACTAAATAATGGTTACAAAACATGTGGCACCAACTATACCTCCATGGCATTTCCTGCTTCCTTATTGGGTTTGATCATTTGTTGCAGTGACCACACAAAACTCAGTTATGGTGTTTATTAGGAAAGTTAACAAGTTTACAATGCAGGATCAGAAAATGCTCGGAGGATAGTTCTTTAGGACAGTCTTTCCTCAGCTGTGCTCACAGACAGGCCTCTCTCTACCCAGGCAACAAAGCTCTTTTAGGGCTGCTTATAAATGCTCAACAGGGCATACGACTATACTGTAAGCGTAAGCCCAAAGCCACTCAGTCAGCCCTGACTCCCCTTTTAAGTGCCTGAAGGTACCCCACTCCACAAGTGAGTCTCCTGCCCAAAGGCACTTAGGTTTACTTGCTCCATGGGCCAGGAAGTCCACCGCTCTGTGCTGTGCTCTGAGTATTGACTCTGCTGCTGTTACTCCTCTCCCACTCCTCCCGTGCCACAGCTTTCTGTCCCTGAGTCAACGAGGTTCAATGTGCAGGGATCTCAGGGTCCAAAGAATGTTTTCCACTCTTGGCTCTTGTTCTTTGATGGTAGTGAGATCCCCTTCTCTGCTTTTAAGAGGGCTCATTTTATTCCAGGTTTTTATAATCACAGTTAACCCTGTTAACTACTCACAACTGAATTATATAATCCTGTTATCATCTTTTCCCACCTTCTCTTATGCAGACTCATCAGGGCAAAAATGTTGCATTGGAGAATTCACAAATGGCACTGTAGGATAAACATGGTCTGCTAATCACAAGGTTGGCAGTTCAAACCCACCAGTTGATCTTTGGAAACCCTGTACAGGGTTGCTATGAGTCAGAACTGATTCCATGCACTTAAGAATAAAAACAACATGACTAGAAGAGACATTGAATAATTCACTGTACCACTGTTGTATAATTTCAAATTTAGAGAAAGAGTGTAAGAAGTTTATAAAGAAATCCATGTAGTCTTTATTAAGATTCACCAGTTATATACATTTTGCTCCATTTCCTTTATCTTTCTCACCTCTGAGCCATTTGAGAGTAAGTTATTGGCATTGTCTGCCTTTTTCCCAATGAGAACAAGGAATAATCTTAAATAACCACAGTATAATTATTGAAATCAAGATATTTAATATTGGTATATTATTATCCAATGTATACTCAGATTTTATCATTGTCCCAATATTATTCTTTAATAGCTATTGTGTTTTCTGTTTCAGGATCCAGTCCAGAATTATACATTTTTAAATTTTGTTATGTCTTTTTTTGGGGGGGGCAATTTCTTCGCTAATTTTCTTTTATGACCTTGACATTTTTGAGAGTATGGGTCAGTTATTTGGTAGAATGTTTCTCACTTTGTTTTTAACCAATATCTCCTCATTGTTCAATACAGATTATACATTTTTAACAGAAATACCACAGAAGTCATAATATATCCTCACAGCACCTCATAGCCACAGGCATATGATACTAGCTTTTCCTCTATTGATGATGTTCATTTTGCTCCCCTTTCTGCCAGATTCTCCATTATGAAAGTTACTATTTTCTCCATTGTAAGTAATCCATCACATTGTAATTTGCAAATAATCTGTGATGTCAAGAACTGTGAGGGTTATGAAATTTTACCATACTTGTCAACTAGCAAGTTATCTTGCTTCAATATTATGGATGCCGGTAGAAAGCACAAAACTTCTTTCTATCTAGGTCAGAGACAAAGGACAATTACTTTTTGTACAGAAAGCAGGATGAACTTCATGCTCTTATAGGCCCCTTTATCTGCAAGTTGGACGTGACGTGTAGTAGCCCAGCGGATGCTGTACTTCTAATGATTTTGTGTCTCAATTGTGGCCCAAAGTTACAAACCCTAATCTTTTATAATGGCAACAGGCCAATTTGTTGAGTCTTTGCCTCTGAGAGATACCATCTTTATTTAACTGGAGGGCAAATGAACATACTCTGTTCCACTGCAGTTTAAATACAAACATCCTGCAAAAGATTGTTGTTGTGGCTTTAGTGCTGTCAAGTCAGTTTTGACTTACAGCAACCTTGTATAGGATTTCTGAAGAGCACCTGATGAATTTCTACTGCAGACCTTGTAGTTCAAGCTGACCTTGCAGTCCAGTGCTTATCCTACAGCGCCATATAAAATAATCCAGAATAAAAACTGTCATGTTGCTGCTGCATCAAACATGTGCAGAAACAGGAGAGATCATAGAAAGTGTCTCCCATGAGTACAGGGATCTACTGAGACTTTGTCAATATTCTTTTCCTTTAATCCTCTGGTTTTAGTATCCTATGGATAATTCTTGCTTGAGCCAGTGATTACATTGATAGTGGGATTGTAACCACAGGTGTAGTTATTAGGATTCACTACGCATAATTGGGGGGGATCCAATTCAATTCATAACATTATCCATCTTATTCCCATGATTGCATAGGGACTGAGGAGATCAGTTATTTTACATTATGATTGAATTAAGTTAAACATCCAGTCAGTTGACTTCTGTTATTTCTCATATGTACTTTTTTTTATAGGAAACATTGCCATCATTGAATATGAATATTATATGAATAGGAAGCAATTCTTATAATATGCTTTCTTTAGAAGAGGTATTTCTTTTCATTTATAGGAATGGTATCTGTGGAATATAAGTACTCATACTAGTCTTAAAGATTTGGTTTTCTTATGCTGTTATTAAATTGTTTTTAAATAATAATGCTAAAATTTATTGATGCTTTAATATCTATCAAGGATCATATTTTATAAGCTTTATCCCATTTAACTTTTCCATCTACTTTTGAAATTGATTCCTGTTAATCTTTCAGTTTTTTTTAATGTGGAAATTGAGACTTTAGAGCGGTTTAAGAAAGTTAGTTGTCTATTAATGGCAGCGCTGGATTTAAGCCCAGATCTGTCTGGTGCCAAAGCCATGTGTTTTGACAGCTTTCTTTTCAATTTCTAAAATGTGTTTTTTTTTATTTGTATGTAACATAATGATATATATTTGTATACTGTTTTGTTCTTTGTAAAGTACTTTTTAAAAATTCCCATTTTTAAACATCTTATACAGAATTTTGGAGTCCTGGTGTGGTGCTGTAGGAAAAGTTCAGTTTGAACTGCAAGGTGGGCAGTTCAAACTTACCAGCCACTGCTTGGAAACCATATGAGTCGGAACTGACTAGACGGCACCTAACAACAACATATAGAATTTAAGGGTCCATGGTAGCGTAGTAAGTTATATGTTGGGCTGCAAGTTATATGCAAGGTCAGCAGTTTGAATCTATTTGCTCTGTGGGAGAAAGATGAGGCTTTCTGCTCCTATAAATATTTACAGCCTTGAAAATCCTATTATACATGGCCCACTGGGAGTTGTAACTGACTCAATGGCACAGCCACCACCACCACCACCATATAGAATTTAAACATCTTATACAGGAATATTTTGAGCTCTGGTGTGGCTCACTCTGTAGGATAAGCAGTGGACTGGTAACAGCAAGGTCAATAGTTGAAACACATCAGCCATTCTTGGGAACCCTGTACAGGATTGTTGTGAGTCAGAACCAACTAGATGGCATTCAACAAAAACAACAGGCTATCTTAATATAGAATTATGT